TATCTAGAGAGGGAGATAAATGAAGCAGAGTTAGAATAATGCAGAATTTGTTATAGCATCTACCTTGTATTGCAGAGATAAAGATCTGCACAATCTGAGGCAATTGCTGACGTCATGCACATCTCATTTTAATGGAACTTCCCTTAACGTTCACGAACTTAACATAACGGACGAAAAGTTATCTTTTCGATAAAGGATATATAAAAAAAGTTAATCAGTAATTTAAAAATTGGAGAATTATGCCGTTGGTGTGGACAAAAATAGATATCTTTACTTTTCGGTATAAGAAGAAGAAGAAACCCTTTTACATTTCTTGTCGGGTGTTGTCCACTGTTTCCAAGAACAGGTGCTAATTTGAGACTGACAATCTTGACAAGTTCTAAAACTTGTCAAGATTGTTTTTAAGACTCCCATTTGTCGCTCTTCGGAATACTTGTTTTCTTAGGGAGGAAGAGGGAACATAGGGCGTTTTTGTGGTAACCCTTAAAAATTTTGTTATCCTTCGAAGTATGCGTGAGTATTAATGCAAGTGTGCGAGGGGACCCAAACGAGAGGCCTGAAAGACGACCTCTACCTGCAGTCTCGCCAACTAACGAAGCAAACCAGGCAGGCAAACCGGTGTCGGCACACCACACCACCACCATCCGACAACGGCAGCTCGCCGAGCACCACAACCGACATTGCCAAGTCAGTTTCAAGTCAGTACTACCACTACTACCGTCATCGTCGTGTCGTCTCCTTTCCCTGGCCGCGCGCGTCCTTTTAACCGATCCCGCGACTTTGATCATCTCGATCAGAGAATGGATGGTGCTCTATCAGGGTGAGGAGAGTGGACCGTCAAGCAACCAAAGAAATACCAGAACGAAATTCAATTTCTGCCCCGTCGACAAACCACTCAAACATCATTTCAATATTTTTCGACAATCTGGACCATATAGGAATGCCTATGGAAGGAATACCGGTTTCTTAGTGCGGAAAGACCTTAATCGCGTGGGAGGATGAGATGTAACGTTGCCTCCTGACAGTACCGTCAACCGGCGTCGCGAAATTATTCCCAAACCCAATTTACAATTCTGCAAAAAATGGGAATCTAATAATCAAACATCTAGATATTCGAATTTCAATTTCTGACAATTTCTATTCGAGTAGATGTAAAAATTTCTTGGTTCAAAATTACTTACCAGGAGGAAATAAAATTAAATCCTTACAGTGAAAGAATGTGTATTTTGTGCGTGTGTGTGTGTTCTTGAAAGTGCCGAAGGATCCCGCCTCAGTTGTTGGTGATTTGAATGCCTGTTAGAAGCTGATTCGAAATCCGCACATACAAAAGAAAAGAAGGAGAAGAAAAAGAATCGTATTAAGTGTGATTTTGTGTGAAGAGTGCGTATTTTCACCCCCCGAGAGAGGGGATTTCGCCAGTTTTGCTTTTCGAGTTGTTGATGCTTGGGCTTGCAAAAGCGAGCGGACGACGACAAGAGCCGGTCAACCAAGGAGAACGAGAGTGGAGGCTGCTGCGCCTTGCAAAATCCAATCCTTGCATAGTCGGCTGAAGCGAGAAAGAGAGAGAAGAAGGAGGAGGAGGAACGGCACATTATAAGCAAAAAGAGAGAAAAGTTTGGCAGCGAAACCACAGCGAAAAGGAAAACAGGTGAAGCGAGGTTAACCACCGGGTACGCACACACATGTACTGGCTCTCTAACGTCGTGAATGTTCCGTGAAAATCTCGTACGTTAACTTACGCTACCAAACCACGTGTCTTCTTCTCGTGTGCTGCTATTCTCACCGGAATATCAAATACTTTCGGCTGCTGCAAAACATCATTATTGTCATTACTTCAACAATAGTGTGGATTTTTGAAAATTCTTGTCGAGTACTGTTCTTTTAGAACACTGATCTTTTAGAAAACTTCTTTTGGAATACTGATTTTAAGAAGTCTTCTTTTGGAGTACCGACTTTTAGACGACCTTTTTTTGGAATACAGTTTGTTTGGAATACTATTTAATGCTAGCATCTACTACCAAAAATTTCGCTAGGATGATGATAAAAGTGGAATTTACAATGCAATCAGTGGATGATTAATTATCGGAAATATTCACTTGAGATGTGAACTTTACAATGCAGTCGGATTATGATTGATAGTAAACATATTTTTTCACCAGAGAAATTAACTATTTTTCGAAAGTAGAAGAAGTATTCGGATAATATTGTGAAACCTGTTTATAAATTCTCTATTTGAAAGTGTTTTATAATACTATTCAAAGTTGTAGTACTCTTCAAAGTTATAATACTCTTCAAAGTTATAATAGTCTTCAAAGATATAATACACTTCAAAGTTAGAATACTCTTCAAACTAATAATACTCTTCAAACTTATAATACTCTACGAGTCTACTCATATTCTTATATTCCGTAAAAAACTGCTCTTCACAAAGGAATCTAAATCTGTATAGAAGAATCTAATTGCATAAAGGAATCTAATTCTGCAGAAGAATCAGTAAATTCCATTTTCTGCATGGAAAGGAAAAATTCAAGGATAAGTATTTAGCACGACGATAAATACTTGACAAACAGATTTTGAAAGAGATGCATATAGCTGACGCAAGAATAACGAGTAGGTGGTGACTTTGCAATCTTTTGCTATTTGCTGTATCTGTGGTGCTGTTTACTACTAAAGAAGGCCCGATAATGATGCGAATCGAAATTGTGCTGTGAGATTATTAGTTAAGGAAGAATTTTTATGAAGATTGAGTTGTTTGTTTTTACTCGATAATGGATAGAAATGACAACGGTATTGTCGGGGGTGGTGGTGGAGGAGGAGGAGGAGGTTGTAGTACTGGTGTAACTAACAGTACAACGAATGGAGGAGGTATCAGTTCTGGAGGAGGAATTATCGGGAGTGGAGGAGGAGGATTGGGAGGAATAGGAGGTGTAGTGGGAGGAGGTGGTGGAGGAGGCGGAAACTGCATCGGAGGAAATTCGGGATCCCCTCTTAATTCATCATCAACACTTGGATCTCTTTATAACACAAATAGTGGGGTTGACAGTCAGGTACGTTTTGTTGTTGTACTGAATACGAGTTTAGAATTAGGGGATGATGCTCGTTTCACTTGTCAGCCACGTGGCTCACCTAAATTCCTTTCAAAAGCAAAACCTGACCATTTTTTATTGGAAATATTTTCCAACGGTCGCTTGAATTTTAAAAAGATATTATCATCTCTCACAACCTGCGTAAACCAGTTTGGCACTCAGGGTTGAGAATATATATATATATATGTATATACAGTCAGATGAGGTGCCAAATGAAACTTTCATTCTATATAATCATTTCAGATACATTTAAAAAAAGATTTTCTTAATTTTTTGTCAAATTGTAATTAATTAATTAAATTTAAGATAAATTATGCTCAATCGTTATTGTTTCGAATTTTGAAGGAAAATTAATAATATTTGGAATAACCTTTTCCAAAATAACTATTCAATTAACAATATATTCCGACAATATGACTTATTTTGATAAAATAGGATTTTTACGATTGTCCTTTTACAAACTGCAGCAAAATACCATTTTATATTTTAATACCTACAAAAACGGCTTTGATTTGAAACCCCATTGTTCTAATTTGACAGATTTTTATACACTAGTGCTAAAAAATGAAATACTAAAAACATTTCATTTTTACAATAATTCTTCTAATATTCAATTATTTTCTAGAATACTTTACTAAAATTCTTCTTTAAATCAATTTTTTTAATACAAAAATTCAATTTTTTATGAAAATTGCATACTAGCAAATTTAAAGAATAAAATTATTAAATTTTATTTAAAAACTGTAAAAATTTAAACTGCATACCGTCAAACTGCACACGATTAAAAATTAGAATTACAAACTTTATAATAAAAAATAAAATTAATTTGAACTGCATACCTACTAAAAAACTGCATACCAGATTATTTTTAGTAAATGTAATAAAAATAAGTTTGTATATACTTTAAATTAATCCTATTTTTTAATTAAAATTTGTAATTTTTACTCGTGTGCAGTATGACGTTATGAAGTTTAAATTTGTATAGTTTTTAAATTATCATAATTTTATTAAAATTTGCTTTTATGTAGTTTATTGTATGGTGTATGGCATATTATGATGTCACGCACTTTTTTGAGATTTTCAAACCCCCCTTCCCCCTTGTCACGCAATTTTACGGAATTTTACATGAAAAACATACATTGTGTCACGTTTAGTAGTCGACCCCCCATCCCCAAAAACGTGACATCATTTGTAAACATTCCCTGTGCATTTTTCCAGTATTCTATTGAAATGTGAGCAATTGATCCCGCCCCGATTTAGAGAAGAATTTAAGTTTAAAATTCTGGAAAATAATTGAATTTTAGAGAAATTACAGTAGCAATTTTTAGAAATAATTAACTTTCAAAAGTTCGCAAATTAAAAATTTTTTGAATTCTTATTATATTTAAGAATAATATTTAAATACTTATTTAAAAAATCTATTTAACTTCAAATATAGTTAGTAAACAATTCTATAAATAATTGAATTTTAAAAGAACTACAGTTAGTAATTATTATAATGTTTGCAAATAATAAAATTTTTATTATTAAAATAAATTTTACGTTTCAAAAAATTGTATTGCAATTTTTTAAAGTAATCATGTTTTTTGAAGAAATATGTTAAAAAGTATTAAAACAAGACTTAAATTGTTTTTATTACCATCTGTCACTAACATTAGATATTAATTTATTGTCATATATATGACAGTATTAATGTTTTTCCCCAAGAAAGTAGAGATAAGTTTAGCTAAAAATCAGGGAACAATTTAAGAAAGAGTCAGACAGAAGTCAGGGAATTTTTTTCTCAATCTTTGCTAGACACCTTGAGAGAGAAGGAAATGGGTAAATAACATCTTCCGGAATACTAGTTATTATCTTCCGGAAGATGTTATTTACCCATTTCTTTCTCTCTCAAAGTTTGGGGTATTTTAACGCAAAGGGATGAAGAGAATTTTAGATGAGAGCTTTTGGATATTATTTATACTTTTCGAAAAATATTTTGAACTCATGTACAATTGTGGAGAAAAATATACTCTTCGCATGTGAAAATGTTATTGGAGAGGCGGACTAGATAAGAGAAGGAATCGTATACCCCTTGGCCTCGATAAGACCTCCTTCCTAACTGCATTCCACTGTCGGGACATTACTGCTGAAGAAAGTCGATGGCACTCACATGCCTTAGGCAAAGCTTTCAATGCAACTGATTTTCCTTGCGGTATACACGGAGAGAACTTTAAACCGTGAAAAACAGTGTCATCATGAAAGTAAAAGATGAACTCACATTAAATATTCGAGCAAAAGTGGGAAACTGAATTACCGATGACAGTCACTGCTTTCGCTAGTGGCGCCACTGGTTTTCTAAGTTTTCCCACCAAAATTGAGGGTGTCACCTTTTAAAGTTAAATAATCCATGACGATCACATAGTTTTTCCATGAGATCATCGATTTTTCCCGTGACAGTCATCCGAGAGCGGTTCGTGAGAAGTTGTGTGTATAGTTTGAAGTGTATAAAATAAAGAGGAAATATTATGGATGATTATGTCTCAAAAGTGCTTAGTGATTGGAATCTCTCATTATTACAAAATTTATTCAGATGTAAGTAAAATAATTCAAAGTATATTTCAAATTTTTATCCTTTTAAAATGTATTTCGTGATTTTTAAATTAAATTATAACACTCACTTAGTAGTAAAATTTTCTGTTTAGTTCACAAGATAGATAAGACGAGATTTTTTTGCTTAACTGAGGACGAGATTTCAGAAATTATTCCTAAAGAATTAGGAAATGAAATAATTTCTGATTTCAAGTTAAAATATAAATTGAATTTAGTTTCCAATTTAAATGACAATGTTGATATTGTAAATAATACAGAAGAAGAAAACATCGACGTATTAAATTTGACTGTGACAAATGATGAGGCTTTTGACATTGACAATATCAACATTGAAAATCTCAGTTGCGATGAAAATATTGAAAAACTGCAAAATATTGAAAATTTCTATTCATCAAGTAATTATATTTTTTTTCTTTTTAATTTGAAATTAATATTTTACAAATTTTATGAGTCGTTTTTGAAGACATTATTAAAGTTAATTATTAACTAAAATATTTTTTTTTAGTTGAAAGAAATATGCCACTTTTTCAATTATTGTGCAGTACTTTAGTTGGGAGATTTATTCTTTATGAGTACTCGAAAACTAAAACTTTTTCAAGAAAAGATTTATGCAGAATTGTCATAGAAAATGCAATAAATAAAACTATAGGGACTTTAATGCCATTTTCGTAAGCATTAATTTATAAATAATTTCTGTATTTCGTTTATCAACATTTCTTTATTTATTATAATAATGTTTTTTTTCATGTTCGCAAAATTTGCTTTGCGAACATAACCAGGGTGGTCACATGTCAGTAAAGTCAGGAAAAAAAATTTTTGACAGGGAAATTAAAAAAATTGAGAATTTTTTTGACTTATTTTTAAATATTTCGACTTTTTCGACTTTTCTTCCAAACATTGCAACAAAATACACCAATTTTCAATACTTAAAAAAGTGCAACTTATTTTTTTTATAATGCTAAAAAATAACTCTAAACAAATCTTTCAAAAATTGTTTGTGAATCATTTTTTAACATAATTAAATTTATCAAATATTTTTATAATAAAAACCTTTTTAAGTAGTTGAAATTTTGTAAAATTTAATTCAAAATAATTAATTTATTGCAACTATTTATTTACAATTTTTGAAAATCAATTTTCAAAGAATTTGAATTGCAAAATTTGAAAATAATTGAAATATCAAAAATTGTAATGAAAAATCTTTAAAGGTAAATTTAAAAATGAAAATTAATGAAAATTAGCTTCTAATTTTTAAAATTTAATATTTTGAGTATTTTCAATTACATATTTTCGAATATTCAAATAAATACAAAAATAATAACATTTTGGAATTCTTTTTAATATTTTGGAGAAAACAATCAAGTTCAAAATTTTTAATTATAATTAAAAAAAAAATAATTAGTTTTTTAAAATTATACTAAATTTTTTTTAAGAAATTCAAAGATTTTCGAAAAATTACATTAAAATATTTTAAAAAACTAATTATTATAATTGTTGTATAATAACTTTTTAAGTTTCAATTATCTTCGAATGATGTAAATGAAAATTTATGAAAATTTATGAAAATTTATTTTTTGGACTTATTAAAATTTTTGAGAAATCATGGTCGTATTTGTAATTTAAATTCTTGAAAAATTTTATCATTTTTATTTATATTTTTTAAAATTTCAATTGTTTTTAAAAGATTTTATTAAAGTTTAATTTTCAAAAATTTTTTTAAAATTGAAAAGCTATTATATTTATATAATTACAATTATTATAAAAAATTGAGTTTTTGTATTTAAATAATTGAATTCTATAAGAACATTTTGGAAATTATTTAAATTAATTGATTCAGAGATGAAGTTTAGTTGAAAATTGTAAAAAATAATTGAATTCAGGAAGGGTTATAATTGTAATTTTTAGCAATTATTAAAATTTATAAATTTTACCCATTTTCCATAAACATTCATATTTTCCTGTAAAAAGAACTTTGTCAGGGAAATTAAATTTAATGTCAGTAAATTGTCAGGGAAATGTCAGGGAAATTGTTAAACTGAAACTTGTGGCCACCCTGATAACAATGTCAAAAGTTCCTTAAAATATGGTTTTTATAATTTTGAATTTAAATATATTTAATATATTTCAATTCAAAAGTATAAAAATCATATTTTCAGGAACTAGTGCATTTTAAATTTGTGATTTGTTATACTTCAATTATTTTATTATTTATTTTTTCTTTGTCGTAGATTAAATTGCACAATATTTAAAGAAATTGTAAGTGATATAAAATTACTTTTTCCAACGGAAGAAACGGATTTATTTTATGATCCTTCACACAACTTAAATGAAAATAATAAACGAAAACGAATAAATAGCACGGGTTACTTGTATACAACATATTTAAACTTTCGAGATAGGGCAGTGAATTTGAAATTGCTTGATAACACAAAAAAACATAACACCAAGAGGAGAAAATCGAGTGAATGTGAAGGTCAGAATAGTTTTAATCTTTTGAGTTTTAATATATATGGCACGTGACAACGGAATAACTTGCGCTTTATATTTAAAAAATATTTTTAATCTGTAACATATGTTTTACAATTTGTGTTACTGTTTTTTGTAGAATTCGATCAATTTCCATTGGATTTAAATATTTTATCCCAAGAGAACCCAGACGACGAAAAAATAGCCATTGAGACTTGGAAGTATTCTTTCTATCACCGAAGAGAAATTGTTTACAAAAACAAAAGTCCGCTTGATATTCTTACTCGTTTTGACATTTTAAAAGGAAGCTTAGGACAAAGATTGGTAAGGAGAAGCAATTTGTAACCAAAAAAATGTATTAATATTTTTTATTTCATTATTAACTTAATCTTTAAAAACCATATTTTTAGATTTTATCAGATTTTGAAGACTTATTCAAAAATCACAAATATCCAAAAAATGATAAATTCAAAAACACATGCGTAAAAGATCGTCTTGTTGTCAAGTGGCCAACAGTTGCTCCAAAATTAATTGAAGTTGCAAAAAGAAAAGCTTTTGATTGTGGCAAAGTTAATAGTAAGAGGAAAGATACAAACGTTAATGTCAATGAAGGAAATTTTCCAGAGCAAAACTTTGTTAAATATATCAATACGAATTACTTGGATATAAAGAATGTTATAGAGAAAAACAAAGACCCACAAAATGATGGTAAGTCAAATAGACAATATTTTACAATAAATAAATTTTTGATGCAAAAAATTCCTCCTAATAAAAGTTTTTGTAATTGTCCAAACAATTACTGAAATAAAAGTTTACCAAGTAAAAGTTATAACTAAAATTTTTATATTGATTTATTTCATTAATTTTGAATTGCAACAAATAATAGGAAATTTAATTTCATGTTTAAGATAACCAAAAAATGAAATATAATTATTCGTCTTTTTAAAAAATATCTATTCAAGCCAATTTTAAAATCTTGGCGTCAATACTTTCATCAATCATGATTATAAGTTTGAGAAAATGTAAAATATTTCAAAAAATATGAAATTTATTAAAATTTTCTGAAACAAATATCGAGACATACAAAAGTTATATAATTTTATCCTACAAAATTAATTGACTAGTTGATATAACTTTATCTCCAAAATCTTTTATATACGTCTCCTTTTAGGTAAACTATGAATAATATTAACGATTTTTTTTAGAACATAAGAATGCATTGGCAGCTTTACTGTTAGTGAGTTTGATTCAGCACACTTTAAAAGTATCAAATTGTAGTACTTGGAAGCCTAATCAAACTGACATTGTCAACTGTTTCATTGTTCACATTGAGGTACTTATTAAATTTTGTTTATCTGTACTTTGCTATTATCACAATGGAAAAAAATTATATGCTTAATTATTCAAATTATTTCCTTATGCGTTTAAGGTTCCAGAGAAGGAAGAATATATACATAACTTTGTTTACCAGAGATGTCTCTTCTTCGAAGCAAGAGGAGTGATAACGGTTCAACCTTACATTATAATTTGTGGGCCATTAACAGACATTAGTGCATGCTACGTAGCTATTGAGAAAGTTCTCCATAAATGTAGCACTTTTGTTGAAGCTTTTGACTTATGTTTTAAGTCATTTTTTGCGCTTAATCTCAATTATTCTTTAGCGTGCCCTCATATATGGTCTTTTATTCAAAGATATATATTTGAAATTAAAGACTACAGAGCTGCAGTGGCATTAAGAAAAATATCGAACTTAGCTACCGAACTGACTAAAATTGCGGATTAGAATTATTCAAAAAAATTATTATTACTGTGATACTAAATTAATCATTTCGCAAGGATTTTTTAAAAATCTTTTTATTTATAATATTATATTAATAATTTTGCGTCGATTTTATGACAATAATTATTCGTTTAATATTCTGAATATGTAATTTTTCAGAATGAAATACAAACGTTAAGAAAGTTTAATATTTTGAGATTCAAGGAGAAAATTTAAAAGAGATAAAGTAGTTGTAAATGTAATCTTTTCTTTTTAATAAAAGTGGACTTAAAAAATTTTAATATGGATCTAGATAATTCAATTTTAAAACTTACTTGCGATTTATATAATAATCTAAATATTTCAAGAAGTGACATACAATTTATAATAGAGTCGTTTCAAAATTTAATAAAAAATGTTTATAATCCATTCATATTACAAAAAGTAAATGTATGTCTTAATAATAATGTTGACAAAAAAGTTTACGAAATTATAAATAGTATTTTCGAAAAATACAAAAATCCTTTCGAAAATTATAATTCAGAATGTAAAAGATTAAATTTATATGAAAAAATGGGATTATACTTAAAGCCTAAAGTATGCATTTTAAGTAACGATAGAGTACCTAAACTTCAGGGAAATAAAGTTATATTGACAATAAAAAAAACTACAATGATTCATTTATCATTGAAAAATTCATTGAAAATGTTGTTGCAAATGGACGGATTGTTAAAATCAACAATGTCTTATATGGATTTTCTGCAAACTGAGTCAGAAATAAAAATTAATTTTATTCAAGGTTCTCTGTGGAAGAAACAATTACAGGACTTCGAGAATCAAATAGAAAATTTGAATGAAAAAACTATAGTTTTACCCCTTTTTATTTATTTTGACGACCTTGAGACTGGCAATGCATTAGGTTCTCATGCTGGGAAAAACCAAATTGGATGTGTTTATGCCACTATTCCCTGCTTACCACCAAATTTTTCTTCAAAACTTGAAAGTATTCTCGTTACGGATATTTTTTATACAAAGGATAGAAAAACTTTTGGGAATAAAATAATTTTTAGTAAACTTATTTCAGAATTACAAGAACTAAATAAGTTAGGAATTGAAATAAATGTTGACAACAAGAAGTATAAAATCTATTTTATAACAAGTTTAATTCTTGGTGATAATCTTGGTGCAAATGGTATTTTGGGTTATGTGGAGTCCTTCTCATTAACTCATTTCTGTCGACTTTGTACCGCTGGACCAAAGGAAACCAAAGTCATGACAACAGAAGACGTAACTCTACTTAGAAGCAAACAAAGTTACGATAATGACGTAAAAACTAAAAGTTTTTCTGTTACGGGCATCAAGGAAGTTTGCGTTTTTAATGAGTTAAATTTGTTCCATGTGACTGTCAATACAAGTGCAGATGTCATGCATGACATTTTTGAGGGAGTAGGGAACATTATTATGGCGACGATATTATTGCAATTGATTTTAGTTGATGAGTGTTTTTCGATAGATTATTTAAATAATGCTTTAAACTCATTGGATTTTGCTTTTGAAAAATCTAACGTACCTCTTAACATATCTTTGGAATACTTGAAATCAAATAAAAGGTTAAAAATGTCAGCATCCGAAACTTTGTTCTTTATAAGATATTTTGGACTACTTGTTGGGGACATGGTACCAGAGGATAACGAAAGCTGGTCCTTATACATAAAATTGCGGGAAATTATACATATAATAACCTCCTCTACTATTACTCATTCACATCTTAATCATTTGAAAATTTTAATCGAAGAGCATCATAAATTGTTCATTGAGATATTTGATGTTGATTTAAAAGCAAAATTTCATTTCATGGTACATTACAATCGTTTGATTTTGCAAAATGGACCTCTAATTAATACATCATCCTTGCGTTTTGAATCGAAACACACTGAAATAAAATCAATTTTAAATGCTATTTCATCAAATAAAAATATTTTGTTATCTGTCGGTATTAGGCTTCAGTTGCGTTTAATGCATTTTGTGTTTTCACAATATCGAGAATTGTATTCTACGTATGGTCCTGAAATACAAGATGATTCTGTAAACATCCACTTTCCTATGTCAATTTGTCGAAAAACTGTAAGCAATGTTAAAATTAATGATGTAACGTACAAATGTGGTACAATAATTGTGGCAAGAATTTCGGAAAACGGTCCTATTTTTGGAAAAATCCAAAAGATATATATTGTAGACAACTCGATTTTTTTCAAGTTTATACCTCTTCACATGATCGGATTTAACATGCATTTCTTCGCGTTTAGCGTTTTTGAGGATAGCCAAAATCAAAAAATTATTAAATATGACTCGCTACCACAGAGAACACCGTGTTTGCTGCACCAAAAAAATGACGTTTCATATATTTTTATAAGACACATAATATAAATTGTTTAAGGCGAAATAATTGGAGTTGGGAGTTATTTTGATTTAAATAAAAAATCACATTAAATTCAACAATGCGAATTTTAGTAATTTAAGTAATATTAGAAATTGTGATATATTAGTAAATAATGATTATTTTTGATATTTTTAAAAAAATTTAAGATTTTGTTTGTGAAGAATCGATATTTGTGTGTGTGTGTGTGTGAATATATAATTATTATTTTGTACTTATTATATTATATTAATATTTCTTATAATTATGACAATTAATTATTATTTTAATGCAAATAATTATAACTATACTGATTATTAAATGAAAAGTAATAAATAAATATTAATTGTGACGAATAATTTATTTTTATTTTAATATTATTAATTTATAATACTCTGAAAACAAATTAATTCGATTCAAACAGTTGATTACTTGACTTTTATCAATTAAATATTTACTTAAATCAAATAATCTTTATTTCAATCAAATAAATTTTTTCCAATGTATTAATATTGATAACTCTTAAACTTATTTAATTTTTAGTATTATACAATTAAAATTTTAAAACATTAAGGCTTTAATTGGTAATAGCCAGTTACAATAACAATCAATACACGAGATTTCGAAGTGACTGTCATCGAATATCTTGGTGATCGTTAGAACACATCTAACTTAAGTGTTATTCATTCGAAAACGTTAATTGTACATAAACTATTCAAATGAGAACATTCACATCTTTAGTGTTAAACGAAACACTATACTTTAAAGTGAGTACACTAGTTTGTTCAAAGATGGCACTATATTTCATGGTGAATTTTCACTGTGTTTCAAGGTGGTATAGTGTGAACCGTCTTTAAGTGTTCAAACTTCTCTCCGTGTATATTGGTATTCGAAGAGAGACACAATAGCTTGTTTCCTGTCTTGCAAAGTTAATTAAAGAGTGTATTTACTTTAGGAACACACCCATATGAAGAGAAACGGCAAGTATGTACTAAATTCTTCTATGTGCGCAAAGGAATCTTTGAGGAAATTCTTCTTTCAATGCGACAACGCAAAAGTAAGAAACAAGAGAAAGATTGTGCAAGTCCTCCTCGCCTCTTCTCCTTTGACTTTGAAAGTATATATCCCACAATCCTAGCTCTAAGTATAGATGTGTGTTTGCAGAAAATACTTCGAAATCGAGTGAATAATGCACTTCACGTTTTCTAATCTATCTATGTAACTCTCCAAGGAAATGCGCGGCAATTGCTTTATAGAAGAACTTTTTTCTCCTCTCTTTGCATCAACAATTTTAACGACTTTGCTTTTTTTCTGATCAATTTTTCTCTCCGACTAATCAAATTATTTTTTTTCCACTTCTTCTTTGTTTCTGTGTAATGATAAAATTACTGTTTCAAGAAATACAATATTTTTGATTATTTGCGTTCTAAGAGAAGAAAAATCAATTTAGAAATTTGATGATGTAACAAGGCAAATATGTTGTTTTATTAAACATATCTTGCGATTCGTTCCGCATTATTATGTATGGCAACATTCAATTCTTAAACGTTACTTAAAAACTCATAAAACATTCATTGTATTCGCATTAGGGGAAACAGTAGATGACAGAAATTTTCAGCACATTAGTCATACTACTTTGGAGATAATTGAACTCACGAAATCGCCACGATTTCTCAATTATACCCAAAGCATTTAACTTTAGTTTCTACATTTACGACACGATTGAAAGAAACCAGCAATTTCAATTCAGAAATACACCAAATAGAGAAGCATATTTAGTTGCGGATAGAGATTTGTTTTGAATAAACAAAAAGAATTTTTGAATTAAGAAAAATGTGTTGCATGGCATATCATTGCCAAATATCTTTCTGAATTGAATGCACGAATTATACCAAATCGGTAATATCAGGTATGGAGAGGATGAAAAGAAAAGAAAAGAAAGAATGTCGGTGTGAGTCAAAACCTCCTTGCTCTTTGACTACATGAATGCATCCTGGTGTCAGGTTATAATGCAGTCCACGATGCACTCTGCTGTACACGTAATACTACACATGTACATGTGCGCATTTAAAAGCAACAACTGAATCTTTCTCTTATAGTTGTGTACATATACCTTTGGGTTCAACTATACACGGAGAGAAGTTTGAACACTTAAAGACGGTTCACACTATACCACCTTGAAACACAGTGAAAATTCACCATGAAATATAGTGCCATCTTTGAACAAACTAGTGTACTCACTTTAAAGTATAGTGTTTCGTTTAACACTAAAGATGTGAATGTTCTCATTTGAATAGTTTATGTACAATTAACGTTTTCGAATGAATAACACTTAAGTTAGATGTGTTCTAACGATCACCAAGATATTCGATGACAGTCACTTCGAAATCTCGTGTATTGATTGTTATTGTAACTGGCTATTACCAATTAAAGCCTTAATGTTTTAAAATTTTAATTGTATAATACTAAAAATTAAATAAGTTTAAGAGTTATCAATATTAATACATTGGAAAAAATTTATTTGATTGAAATAAAGATTATTTGATTTAAGTAAATATTTAATTGATAAAAGTCAAGTAATCAACTGTTTGAATCGAATTAATTTGTTTTCAGAGTATTATAAATTAATAATATTAAAATAAAAATAAATTATTCGTCACAATTAATATTTATTTATTACTTTTCATTTAATAATCAGTATAGTTATAATTATTTGCATTAAAATAATAATTAATTGTCATAATTATAAGAAATATTAATATAATATAATAAGTACAAAATAATAATTATATATTCACACACACACACACACAAATATCGATTCTTCACAAACAAAATCTTAAATTTTTTTAAAAATATCAAAAATAATCATTATTTACTAATATATCACAATTTCTAATATTACTTAAATTACTAAAATTCGCATTGTTGAATTTAATGTGATTTTTTATTTAAATCAAAATAACTCCCAACTCCAATTATTTCGCCTTAAACAATTTATATTATGTGTCTTATAAAAATATATGAAACGTCATTTTTTTGGTGCAGCAAACACGGTGTTCTCTGTGGTAGCGAGTCATATTTAATAATTTTTTGATTTTGGCTATCCTCAAAAACGCTAAACGCGAAGAAATGCATGTTAAATCCGATCATGTGAAGAGGTATAAACTTGAAAAAAATCGAGTTGTCTACAATATATATCTTTTGGATTTTTCCAAAAATAGGACCGTTTTCCGAAATTCTTGCCACAATTATTGTACCACATTTGTACGTTACATCATTAATTTTAACATTGCTTACAGTTTTTCGACAAATTGACATAGGAAAGTGGATGTTTACAGAATCATCTTGTATTTCAGGACCATACGTAGAATACAATTCTCGATATTGTGAAAACACAAAATGCATTAAACGCAACTGAAGCCTAATACCGACAGATAACAAAATATTTTTATTTGATGAAATAGCATTTAAAATTGATTTTATTTCAGTGTGTTTCGATTCAAAACGCAAGGATGATGTATTAATTAGAGGTCCATTTTGCAAAATCAAACGATTGTAATGTACCATGAAATGAAATTTTGCTTTTAAATCAACATCAAATATCTCAATGAACAATTTATGATGCTCTTCGATTAAAATTTTCAAATGATTAAGATGTGAATGAGTAATAGTAGAGGAGGTTATTATATGTATAATTTCCCGCAATTTTATGTATAAGGACCAGCTTTCGTTATCCTCTGGTACCATGTCCCCAACAAGTAGTCCAAAATATCTTATAAAGAACAAAGTTTCGGATGCTGACATTTTTAACCTTTTATTTGATTTCAAGTATTCCAAAGATATGTTAAGAGGTACGTTAGATTTTTCAAAAGCAAAATCCAATGAGTTTAAAGCATTATTTAAATAATCTATCGAAAAACACTCATCAACTAAAATCAATTGCAATAATATCGTCGCCATAATAATGTTCCCTACTCCCTCAAAAATGTCATGCATGACATCTGCACTTGTATTGACAGTCACATGGAACAAATTTAACTCATTAAAAACGCAAACTTCCTTGATGCCCGTAACAGAAAAACTTTTAGTTTTTACGTCATTATCGTAACTTTGTTTGCTTCTAAGTAGAGTTACGTCTTCTGTTGTCATGACTTTGGTTTCCTTTGGTCCAGCGGTACAAAGTCGACAGAAATGAGTTAATGAGAAGGACTCCACATAACCCAAAATACCATTTGCACCAAGATTATCACCAAGAATTAAACTTGTTATAAAATAGATTTTATACTTCTTGTTGTCAACATTTATTTCAATTCCTAACTTATTTAGTTCTTGTAATTCTGAAATAAGTTTACTAAAAATTATTTTATTCCCAAAAGTTTTTCTATCCTTTGTATAAAAAATATCCGTAACGAGAATACTTTCAAGTTTTGAAGAAAAATTTGGTGGTAAGCAGGGAATAGTGGCATAAACACATCCAATTTGGTTTTTCCCAGCATGAGAACCTAATGCATTGCCAGTCTCAAGGTCGTCAAAATAAATAAAAAGGGGTAAAACTATAGTTTTTTCATTCAAATTTTCTATTTGATTCTCGAAGTCCTGTAATTGTTTCTTCCACAGAGAACCTTGAATAAAATTAATTTTTATTTCTGACTCAGTTTGCAGAAAATCCATATAAGACATTGTTGATTTTAACAATCCGTCCATTTGCAACAACATTTTCAATGAATTTTTCAATGATAAATGAATCATTGTAGTTTTTTTTATTGTCAATATAACTTTATTTCCCTGAAGTTTAGGTACTCTATCGTTACTTAAAATGCATACTTTAGGCTTTAAGTATAATCCCATTTTTTCATATAAATTTAATCTTTTACATTCTGAATTATAATTTTCGAAAGGATTTTTGTATTTTTCGAAAATACTATTTATAATTTCGTAAACTTTTTTGTCAACATTATTATTAAGACATACATTTACTTTTTGTAATATGAATGGATTATAAACATTTTTTATTAAATTTTGAAACGACTCTATTATAAATTGTATGTCACTTCTTGAAATATTTAGATTATTATATAAATCGCAAGTAAGTTTTAAAATTGAATTATCTAGATCCATATTAAAATTTTTTAAGTCCACTTTTATTAAAAAGAAAAGATTACATTTACAACTACTTTATCTCTTTTAAATTTTCTCCTTGAATCTCAAAATATTAAACTTTCTTAACGTTTGTATTTCATTCTGAAAAATTACATATTCAGAATATTAAACGAATAATTATTGTCATAAAATCGACGCAAAATTATTAATATAATATTATAAATAAAAAGATTTTTAAAAAATCCTTGCGAAATGATTAATTTAGTATCACAGTAATAATAATTTTTTTGAATAATTCTAATCCGCAATTTTAGTCAGTTCGGTAGCTAAGTTCGATATTTTTCTTAATGCCACTGCAGCTCTGTAGTCTTTAATTTCAAATATATATCTTTGAATAAAAGACCATATATGAGGGCACGCTAAAGAATAATTGAGATTAAGCGCAAAAAATGACTTAAAACATAAGTCAAAAGCTTCAACAAAAGTGCTACATTTATGGAGAACTTTCTCAATAGCTACGTAGCATGCACTAATGTCTGTTAATGGCCCACAAATTATAATGTAAGGTTGAACCGTTATCACTCCTCTTGCTTCGAAGAAGAGACATCTCTGGTAAACAAAGTTATGTATATATTCTTCCTTCTCTGGAACCTTAAACGCATAAGGAAATAATTTGAATAATTAAGCATATAATTTTTTTCCATTGTGATAATAGCAAAGTACAGATAAACAAAATTTAATAAGTACCTCAATGTGAACAATGAAACAGTTGACAATGTCAGTTTGATTAGGCTTCCAAGTACTACAATTTGATACTTTTAAAGTGTGCTGAATCAAACTCACTAACAGTAAAGCTGCCAATGCATTCTTATGTTCTAAAAAAAATCGTTAATATTATTCATAGTTTACCTAAAAGGAGACGTATATAAAAGATTTTGGAGATAAAGTTATATCAACTAGTCAATTAATTTTGTAGGATAAAATTATATAACTTTTGTATGTCTCGATATTTGTTTCAGAAAATTTTAATAAATTTCATATTTTTTGAAATATTTTACATTTTCTCAAACTTATAATCATGATTGATGAAAGTATTGACGCCAAGATTTTAAAATTGGCTTGAATAGATATTTTTTAAAAAGACGAATAATTATATTTCATTTTTTGGTTATCTTAAACATGAAATTAAATTTCCTATTATTTGTTGCAATTCAAAATTAATGAAATAAATCAATATAAAAATTTTAGTTATAACTTTTACTTGGTAAACTTTTATTTCAGTAATTGTTTGGACAATTACAAAAACTTTTATTAGGAGGAATTTTTTGCATCAAAAATTTATTTATTGTAAAATATTGTCTATTTGACTTACCATCATTTTGTGGGTCTTTGTTTTTCTCTATAACATTCTTTATATCCAAGTAATTCGTATTGATATATTTAACAAAGTTTTGCTCTGGAAAATTTCCTTCATTGACATTAACGTTTGTATCTTTCCTCTTACTATTAACTTTGCCACAATCAAAAGCTTTTCTTTTTGCAACTTCAATTAATTTTGGAGCAACTGTTGGCCACTTGACAACAAGACGATCTTTTACGCATGTGTTTTTGAATTTATCATTTTTTGGATATTTGTGATTTTTGAATAAGTCTTCAAAATCTGATAAAATCTAAAAATATGGTTTTTAAAGATTAAGTTAATAATGAAATAAAAAATATTAATACATTTTTTTGGTTACAAATTGCTTCTCCTTACCAATCTTTGTCCTAAGCTTCCTTTTAAAATGTCAAAACGAGTAAGAATATCAAGCGGACTTTTGTTTTTGTAAACAATTTCTCTTCGGTGATAGAAAGAATACTTCCAAGTCTCAATGGCTATTTTTTCGTCGTCTGGGTTCTCTTGGGATAAAATATTTAAATCCAATGGAAATTGATCGAATTCTACAAAAAACAGTAACACAAATTGTAAAACATATGTTACAGATTAAAAATATTTTTTAAATATAAAGCGCAAGTTATTCCGTTGTCACGTGCCATATATATTAAAACTCAAAAGATTAAAACTATTCTGACCTTCACATTCACTCGATTTTCTCCTCTTGGTGTTATGTTTTTTTGTGTTATCAAGCAATTTCAAATTCACTGCCCTATCTCGAAAGTTTAAATATGTTGTATACAAGTAACCCGTGCTATTTATTCGTTTTCGTTTATTATTTTCATTTAAGTTGTGTGAAGGATCATAAAATAAATCCGTTTCTTCCGTTGGAAAAAGTAATTTTATATCACTTACAATTTCTTTAAATATTGTGCAATTTAATCTACGACAAAGAAAAAATAAATAATAAAATAATTGAAGTATAACAAATCACAAATTTAAAATGCACTAGTTCCTGAAAATATGATTTTTATACTTTTGAATTGAAATATATTAAATATATTTAAATTCAAAATTATAAAAACCATATTTTAAGGAACTTTTGACATTGTTATCAGGGTGGCCACAAGTTTCAGTTTAACAATTTCCCTGACATTTCCCTGACAATTTACTGACATTAAATTTAATTTCCCTGACAAAGTTCTTTTTACAGGAAAATATGAATGTTTATGGAAAATGGGTAAAATTTATAAATTTTAATAATTGCTAAAAATTACAATTATAACCCTTCCTGAATTCAATTATTTTTTACAATTTTCAACTAAACTTCATCTCTGAATCAATTAATTTAAATAATTTCCAAAATGTTCTTATAGAATTCAATTATTTAAATACAAAAACTCAATTTTTTATAATAATTGTAATTATATAAATATAATAGCTTTTCAATTTTAAAAAAATTTTTGAAAATTAAACTTTAATAAAATCTTTTAAAAACAATTGAAATTTTAAAAAATATAAATAAAAATGATAAAATTTTTCAAGAATTTAAATTACAAATACGACCATGATTTCTCAAAAATTTTAATAAGTCCAAAAAATAAATTTTCATAAATTTTCATAAATTTTCATTTACATCATTCGAAGATAATTGAAACTTAAAAAGTTATTATACAACAATTATAATAATTAGTTTTTTAAAATATTTTAATGTAATTTTTCGAAAATCTTTGAATTTCTTAAAAAAAATTTAGTATAATTTTAAAAAACTAATTATTTTTTTTTTAATTATAATTAAAAATTTTGAACTTGATTGTTTTCTCCAAAATATTAAAAAGAATTCCAAAATGTTATTATTTTTGTATTTATTTGAATATTCGAAAATATGTAATTGAAAATACTCAAAATATTAAATTTTAAAAAATTAGAAGCTAATTTTCATTAATTTTCATTTTTAAATTTACCTTTAAAGATTTTTCATTACAATTTTTGATATTTCAATTATTTTCAAATTTTGCAATTCAAATTCTTTGAAAATTGATTTTCAAAAATTGTAAATAAATAGTTGCAATAAATTAATTATTTTGAATTAAATTTTACAAAATTTCAACTACTTAAAAAGGTTTTTATTATAAAAATATTTGATAAATTTAATTATGTTAAAAAATGATTCACAAACAATTTTTGAAAGATTTGTTTAGAGTTATTTTTTAGCATTATAAAAAAAATAAGTTGCACTTTTTTAAGTATTGAAAATTGGTGTATTTTGTTGCAATGTTTGGAAGAAAAGTCGAAAAAGTCGAAATATTTAAAAATAAGTCAAAAAAATTCTCAATTTTTTTAATTTCCCTGTCAAAAATTTTTTTTCCTGACTTTACTGACATGTGACCACCCTGGTTATGTTCGCAAAGCAAATTTTGCGAACATGAAAAAAAACATTATTATAATAAATAAAGAAATGTTGATAAACGAAATACAGAAATTATTTATAAATTAATGCTTACGAAAATGGCATTAAAGTCCCTATAGTTTTATTTATTGCATTTTCTATGACAATTCTGCATAAATCTTTTCTTGAAAAAGTTTTAGTTTTCGAGTACTCATAAAGAATAAATCTCCCAACTAAAGTACTGCACAATAATTGAAAAAGTGGCATATTTCTTTCAACTAAAAAAAAATATTTTAGTTAATAATTAACTTTAATAATGTCTTCAAAAACGACTCATAAAATTTGTAAAATATTAATTTCAAATTAAAAAGAAAAAAAATATAATTACTTGATGAATAGAAATTTTCAATATTTTGCAGTTTTTCAATATTTTCATCGCAACTGAGATTTTCAATGTTGATATTGTCAATGTCAAAAGCCTCATCATTTGTCACAGTCAAATTTAATACGTCGATGTTTTCTTCTTCTGTATTATTTACAATATCAACATTGTCATTTAAATTGGAAACTAAATTCAATTTATATTTTAACTTGAAATCAGAAATTATTTCATTTCCTAATTCTTTAGGAATAATTTCTGAAATCTCGTCCTCAGTTAAGCAAAAAAATCTCGTCTTATCTATCTTGTGAACTAAACAGAAAATTTTACTACTAAGTGAGTGTTATAATTTAATTTAAAAATCACGAAATACATTTTAAAAGGATAAAAATTTGAAATATACTTTGAATTATTTTACTTACATCTGAATAAATTTTGTAATAATGAGAGATTCCAATCACTAAGCACTTTTGAGACATAATCATCCATAATATTTCCTCTTTATTTTATACACTTCAAACTATACACACAACTTCTCACGAACCGCTCTCGGATGACTGTCACGGGAAAAATCGATGATCTCATGGAAAAACTATGTGATCGTCATGGATTATTTAACTTTAAAAGGTGACACCCTCAATTTTGGTGGGAAAACTTAGAAAACCAGTGGCGCCACTAGCGAAAGCAGTGACTGTCATCGGTAATTCAGTTTCCCACTTTTGCTCGAATATTTAATGTGAGTTCATCTTTTACTTTCATGATGACACTGTTTTTCACGGTTTAAAGTTCTCTCCGTGTAGGCATATAAGCCATTTTACATCAATTGCCGCATTTTATTATTTCGGGATATTGTACAATCAATTCTTTCGCAACAAGTATACACTGTTAAAAAAAGGGAATTACATTCTAACTCTCAAACGGAATTCTATGAAATTATATCAGAAAATAAATAAAATTAAAAAAAACAGATTATAATTAATAAAATAGGTAAGGGAGCGTTCACAAATGATGTCACCCTTTTGGGGTAGGGGGGGGGTCTTACTAAACGTGACACAATGTATTTTTCTCATGTGAAATTGCGTGACAGGGGGGGGGGGGGTTGAAAATCTCCAAAAATTGCGTGACATCAATTGTGAACGCTCCCTAATACTATATATTTTTTCCTCCACTTTATTATTTCTAACTTTATCCAGTAATATCAATTATTTACAGTTTATTTTTTTGTTATAATTTACAATATATAATTTACTTTACAACTGAAATAAGACAATTTTACATTATTACTATGATTCGTATACAATTGTAACCCTTTCAAAATTGAATTATTTTCTAAAATTATTAACTGAAATTTTCATCTCAAAATTTTGAGTTTTGTGGGAGTTATGGAGGGGGGGGAAGAAAAATCAAAAAACGCTACTCGAAATCTACTAAATCGATTTTAAATTTCAAAATAAAATTATTTTTGATTTTTTGAAGAAAATAATTTTTATTTTGAAAATCAACTTCAGATTTGTATCTAGCAACGCCAACAACCCTCGTAATACGTTTTAAAAGAATTTGTTTAATTTTTAAAAATTAACTACTACAAAAAAATGTACCGGGTAGGGTTTTTGAGTTTTTCACCGTGACACACCTTCAAATCATGTAGGGCATAGTTTTTTTTATAAACTGGGACACTCAAGAGAGTGAAACAAGAAAAAAATCTTGTGTACCACTTCAATAGAAGAAAAATTTCTTTTTAAAAATTTCAAAATCAAAAATTTTTGAATTTTTTTGAAAAAAAAATTCGAAATTTTCTTTTTAATCTCTTTACTTGGCATTTGAACATATTTAAATTTCATTAAAATCGATTTAGTAGTTTTTGAGAAGAATGCGTTTTTTGATTTTTCTTTCCCCCTCCATAACTCCCACAAAACTCAAAATTTTGAGTTTAAAATTTCAGGAAGTTATTTTTAATTGGGTACGAATGTATGGGCAAAATATGAAAAAATACATGCTGGTGCAATTTTTTAGAGATATTATTTGTTTCAATTAAGACTTTCGATATTCTAGAGAAACTTATATTTAGGTGAAACATTCTTTTCTTGAATTATTTAAACACAAAAATTCAAATTTTTTATAATAATTGTAATTGTAACTCTTCAAGTATCAAATTAAAAATTAAAATTTTGTTTAAAAAGTTGCAAAAAAATTAATTTTGCAATAACTTTTATAACAAAAATTTTTTTTCCCGTCCTTTGGTAGACTTATTCCTAAGGCCAAATAGAAATGTTTTTTTAACATTTCGATTAAAAAAATACTTTTTATTTTTCGTGAAAATTTCACGAATTCTGACCTTTATTTAAAATTTTTTAAAATTGACAAAATTCAATTTTAAAATCTCCAAGGGAGATGGACAGAAAGGAGAGATGACCAGTTCAAATATTTTACATAATTTCTAAAAAAATATCACTTATTATTTATGGGTTATTCTTTAAACTTTTGTGACTAATAATAAATGGAAACAACAAATTGTTGAAAAATAATGAAAATGTAAGTGTAATCCTTCTACATTTTTTTGCATGGGCCTAAAATAATTTGAGAAATTCAAATTTCTTATTGTTATATTGTTATTTTTAACATAATTTTTAATTTTTTGACTTATTGAGTATAGTACATAACCCACGCGCTTCGATATAAACCAAAAATGAAAGGAAAAGTTATTTTATTTATTTAATATTTTGATGTTTACTTTTATCAGGTATATTGGGTGCGAGATGGCCATTAATGAATTTAATTCAAATTTTTTTATTTTAATTTTAAATTCTTAAGAAAAAGAAAAACTAATTAAAAAATGTCTGTTAACAAAATAATTGATCTTATTGACATCAGAGATAGAGATCTATTTGTAGGTTGAGGCGAAAGTTGACATTGATTTGAAGATTGGATTCAGTGCAGTATTTAAAATTTTTGGGTACATGAAAACTGCACTGAATTCCATGATAAATGTTTTCGAGAAAAATAAGTTTTTTGATTTTGCTTTCCCCCAAAAAAGCGAATTTTGAGTTCAGAATTGCAGAAACTTACTTATATAATCACGGGGATAGTAATATATGGTAGACCAAATTTGAGAAACAAAGATGCGGGGACACACTTAATCCCCTACGCCCTTTCATTAGAAAATCTGCAGAAATTCCAAACAGTTTATTGAAATTTAGATTTTACTTTGTAAATAGAAAAAGTTACTTTATATTTTTTTGCATACAGCGTATTTGACATTAGGAATTAATAATCATTTTGAAATTGCAAAAAAGAAAGAAAAATGATTACGACCCATTGTGAGAATAATAAAAAATAAAAATTACGCTTTGATTTGCGGTTGTATAATTGAAAAAATTGAAAGTCGTATGTCACACATGAAATAACAATGGCTTGGGAGCAGTGAAACGTTTCGAAAGTGTAATTGCTTTTCTAGGGATATGTATATGCATATATACATATATATGTACAATAAAGTCTTTGAGGCATAGAGTTGTAACGACCTTGAGGACCTTGAGGAGAGCACACGATCGTTAAAATCCTCTCCTACCTGTTCGTCCCTAATCGTCCTGTCGAGCAAGAGAGCATTCACCGGATGACTCATCCCCGCGTATTCGTCCGAATTCTCGTCCTCCATTGCTCAAACAAAATTATACGCCTACGTCTACCTTCGCAGACGAATTTAAAACTTCCCTCCTCCTCCTCCTTCCTCCCACCCTTCTTAAAGAATACACACAGCGAATTTCACATTCTGTGCTCGTATTAAATTTCGTATATTATATCCATTCTCGAGGGAGAAAAATAATAAAAGAACAAAGAGACAGTTTCATTGTTCGAATCTTTTCAATTCTACCAAATTCTCTTTTACGATTATTATTAATATTATTATAATAATAATATATATATTCGCGCGCCAACCCCCAACTTCAATTTATGGCAGAAAAATTATCAAAAACTATTGTAAAAATTATTTTAAATATTTTTAAATTTGGATTTAAGTCAAATTCTTTAAAAGTCTTCATTTCTTTCTTTAAATTCTTTAAAGTTTTTGACCTGAAAACTGTAGTTAATGATTATAAATAATCATTCAATAAATTAAATTAGTTGTAGTATAAAGTTGCCACAATTTTGACAGTATGTTTATGGCACAGTTTTTAGCCATTGACCTTGAACCTAATTTTCAGGTTATGTTCGCCTTTTCAAGGTCCAAAGTTAGGTCAAAATTGACCTTAATTGACATAAAGAATCAACACTTGAACAGCAGGTAAAGGATTAGGTCAAATTTGTCATAAATTTTGTCGTAATCTACCAACTCTTTACTTGCAGGTCAAAAAAAGGTCAAATTTAACAAAAGTAGGTCTAATGTGACATAAATATTGACGTGGCGAAGAATAAGGATGTATAACTTTTGTTTTACTTTGAATTTTGCAATAATATTTTAGGAGAGTATTCTTGACACTATATAAGAGATCCGAAAATAAAAACAAAAAAAAATCGATTTTTTTGACATTTTAAACTGGAATGTCCCCTTAACCCACTTTATGCATTTTCACATAAAACATTACGAACATAACATAAGATTTTGCTTCTAAGGTTCCTGCACTAAAAAAATTCCTAGTACACTGAGAAAACTGGAGAGTCAAATTCAGAGGTTCAAAAAGTGTATGTTTCCTTTGCTTATGAAGAGAGTTAAATAGTCCAGTCCTTCTAAAATAAATTTTGAATTGATAATGGAAATCTACTCGTTTATTCTCTCCCATTATATCTGCACGGAGAGAAGGGCGTAGTAGATTCTACTGACATGGCAGTTAAATCTACTAAACAGAATCGTTAGTTTTAGACTGACGGTACAGACAGTTCCATCTACTGCACTGTTTAGTAAGATAGTAGGATATACTGAGAAAACATAAACAGAGAGGTGTTTTAGTGTATATTACTAAACATACAGTTGGCGCCACTAACCGGTGCACTAAATGATTTACTAAACGCGTTCTGTCACATTTACTGCAACTCTTCTCTCCGTGTGAGGGTTAAAAGTTGCGCAGAAAATGTGTACGATCTGATGCGCGCGAAATTATTTTTCTGACATTTTATGTATTTAATTTAGGGGTTAGGTTGCCATATTTATTCATTTCGCGCCGGATAAGGAAGGGATTTCTCAAGATGCTTAATTTGTCCCTCTGTTATAAACTCATTTTCCCTCCAAGAGAAATGGCACGAATATCTGTCAATGGTGAATTTGAACATTTAGATTGTTATCCAATAGCTAACTCTCAAATATCAACGATTTGTCCCTCCAGATGTTTAGTCCAATACTCCAGTTTTCTCAGTGTAGATTTGACTACTTTTTAACTACAAACTACTCTGCTTAGTTCAATAAGTCCCCAATTAAATTAAAATATTTATTATTAACCATCAAAAAGTTAAAAGAATTAAGGTTGTGGCCCGGTGTGAAGCTTGAAATTTCGATGCTTCTTCGCGAATTTTTTTAAGCGGGTAAATAAAAAACCGATCTTTACGAAATTAAGATATGTTTTTATGGCCGTCTTTAACTTAAACTATATAAAAAAATTTTTACAATAATTCACATTAATTTGTTAATAATTTTTAACGTTAAAGTCAACTCCTCGAAAAAAGCAGAAATTTTTCGGTAAACTCCAGAACCTTTTGCAGTCACTTTAAATGAAAAACTCAAAGATATTATTAATCCACAGACATAAATCTAAGTCTGATATCAATAAAACATTAAATTTTTTAATAA